CCGTCTGGGGTGGGGCCGGGGGCGCAGCCGACGGGACGCCCCGCCCCCTCCGGCCCCGGGTGCCGCGTTTGGCGTTTGCGCCTGCGCGTCCGGCGCGCACGGTCGCGCCTCTCCTCCCGGGGAGCCCGCGTACCCAGCGGCGGGGAGATCCCAAGCGGCGGGCTGCGGGAGGAGGCCTGTGGGCGGCCGTCTGCCGATGACCGCACTGGCCGGTCCGTGCCATCCACCTGCGATCCTGGAGAGCGGTGACCCCCGAGGCCCCCGGCCCCCTGTCCAGACTGTCCCGAGGGCGGCTCTGATCTGGATGTGGAGCGCCTCCAGCCCCTAACCGCGCTAATCCATCAGTCACCGTCGTGGGAGAACGAGACGCTGGGGCCCCTAATTCGTACCATGTTGTTAATCAACGAGGGTGCAGAAATAGCTCTCTGGTCTAAATGTACACGTTCGGAAAAAACTCGTGCCTTCAAGTAGTGACACCACATGCCTTGCTGGGTAGCTCCTGGGAACCCTCCACATAGCAGGCGGTGGGAGACACAGGGTCTGTCTGGCCTCGCCTCAGTCACCAGAAAAGAGGAAGAAGCCAAGTTCTGCCTGCGGACCAACCCCCGCTTCCTGTCTGCCTTCCTCCAAAGTCCTGTGGCTCTTGTGGACCCTCTGAGATCCCGGGTCAAGTCCCTTCCTCACAGCATGTCAGGGAGGGGCCATAGCTTCTGATAACTGGTCGATACCCTTGCTAGAGGACACAGAAGCGTGGCCATCTGAGCCCCATCGGCATTTGAAGTGATCTGGAAAGAAAGGAAGACCAGGAAGAAGCACTTGCAAGTCCGGAAACTGTGAAGCCTTGTTCTTTAATTCAGGACCTCACCTCAGTGCCTCATTGCCCCCTCTGTAACATGTACCTAACAGCAGCAGTACCCAGATACCTTCCCTTGTGCTAAGAGGGCGGTAAAAGGAACTGTGAGCTGCCGTAATGCTGGCAGACTTTGTGAGTTCTGTGGCCTTGTCTTGTGGTCCACCCATCAGGTGAATTTGGCTTTTAGTTCTCACAAGCTCTAGTCTTAGACACAAGAGGCCAGCCTTCAAGGATCTGCAGCTGCCTGTCAAGAAAGTCCCAGGGCACAAAGGCCTGACAAGCCCTGTGGGAAACCCTCCACCTCAGGGTGAAGTAGGCTGACCAGGTGCTACCCTGTCTCCAGGCAAAGAGGCCTGAGGATAGCAATAGCCCAGACTGGAATTTCTGCAGCCTCAAAACTGGATCTCAAAGAACTAAGGTCCCTGTGCAGGTGTGTTAGCCTAGGTCCTAGTTGCAGAGGCCAAGATGGAGCTACATGTACCTGGCTGGACGCCATAAGGAGCCCCATCTCAAAAAGGGACTGGAGAGATGGCTCAGTGGTTAAGAACACTGGCTGCTCTTGCAGAGGACCCCCGTCTGTAACTCCAGTTCCAGGGGATCCAACCCACTCTTCTGACCTCCTCAGACACTACGTGACATGGGTGCACTTACATACATGCAGGCAATACACTCATACACACAAAATAAAAATAATAAAAATAAAAGGAAACCAACCCCCCCCCCCATATTTGGGCCTGGCAGTGTGACAGAAAGACACTCACTGAAATAAGCGGAGGCCCAATTACAGCTGTTGGCTGAGTTTATTGTAGGCTGGATTTGATTGTGTGGCCAAGATGAACCTATTAGGATGGGGGCCTGTCCAGTATGACTTACATCCTTATGAATGGGAAGTTTGGGCAGGCAGACAAGGAGCAGAAAGGGTGCCATGTGAAGACTGAAAGTTTTGCTGGGGCACAAGCTGGTTGGCTACCAGAAGCTAGAGAGATCTGTGAGGGTCCTCCCCTGGAGACTTCATGGGGAGCTGTCTCTACATCGAAGTTGGATTTCTGTCCTTCTGAGCTCTGAGACGGCAAAGCTCTGTTGCTTCATCCCAAGTTGTAGTCACTGGTTCACAGCCCAGGGAGGCTCCCAGTGCAGTGTGAGTCCCTGGAAGGATAGGAGTGAGGCCTACTCCACCCTGTCCCACAGTCTACCCAGGGTGAGTAGGCCATACAGGGTGTCAGAGTCCCATGGCTCAGGAAAGGGTTTGCTTTAGCTACCTGCCCTGCTCTGCCTCTGTGTAAGCTTTGTGGGAAATGTGGCCTGGTGAAAACCCACAATGTCTCCTTGGATCAATGAGGCACATTTGGTGGAAGCTTGGGGAAGGGGCTGATTTGTTTAGGTCGAGACACCTAGGCAGGCAAGTGGCTGACAAAAGGAAGATATTACTTCTGCCCACAGGTCTCCAGAAACAGCATATATCAGAGGCCAGTGGGAAGTCCTCTGTGTTAGACTGTTTGTGCTGCTTTAAGAACATACCTGAGAATGGGTGGCTTGTAAGGCACAGTTATTCTCTCCTAGTTCTAGAACCTGGGAAGCCCAAGATAGCAGCCAGTAGGCTTCAAATCTGACGAGGGACCAATCTCTGCTTCCAAGATGGGGCCATGAGTGCAGCGTTCCTCAGAGGGGGCACCATGTCCAGGAGACTGGCAGGGTGGAACCTGCAAGCTGTTTTATAACGGCAGGAATTATTTCCTTTCACATTTAATTTGCTCTTCATTTCCTGCCTTTGTAAGGTGGGAGTGTAGATGGCTGGTTGCTGACCTTTCTTATTTAACAGTTTATTTTCTACTAAGCATGGCTTCGTCTAGGTTGCACAAATGTTGGCATGCTGATTTTTCACTTTCCTTTGCTTTTTAATTTGCTTTCTGTTCTCCCTGGTGGTTTTTCTTTGACCTGTGTGTTATTTAGTTAGCTGTGTATTAATTTAATGTCCAAATACTTGGAAAGGTTCCAGACACATTTCTGTCGTTAATTTTAATAACTCCTTTGTGGTCCCAGCATAGGTGATGTGAGCTCAATGCTTTTATGGCCTATAATTATGAATTTTGGGTGGAGTGCTCTGTGACTGCCACATTGGTACATAGTTTGTTGTGTTCTGGCCTTCTGGATCCTTACTAGTGTTACTTGTTCTGTTAATAACCAAGGCCAGCTTTATTTGGGGATCTGTCACTATTACCTGTCGATACTTTTAGCTTTTGCCTGCCTGCTGTGTTTTCCAGCTATGCTGGTAGGCACATATACACGAGGAACAGGGATTGTTCCTTGATGAATCACCTTCTTTATTATGATGGAGTCTCTGGCCCTGGCGGCATTTCTCACATTGACGTCGTCTGACGTTAGTGTGCTCACTGAAGCTTCATGTCCACTGTGTGTATGGTATGTTTCCCATGATGCATCTTTTGCTTTATAACCAACCTTAAAATCTCATCTATTTATAGCAGTGTTTAGCCAACTGGGCTTGGTGACTCAACCTGTAATTCTAACACTTAAGAGCTGAGGCAGGCGGATATCTGTGAGTTGGAGGCCAGCCTGGGCTGTATCTCTAGACTCTGTTTCAAAAACAAAACAAAACACCCTTAAACCACCCTTAAACCAAACCAAAACAGCAATGTTTAGACCCACTGTATCTGAGGTGCCACCAGACTTGGGTGCAAATATTCAGTGTTGCCCTTTGCTTGCTGATGGTCTCCTCTGACTTTCCTTTGTGTTTTCTCTTTTGGGGTAATTAAGCAGGTTTTCACCTTGTCTCTACCATACCTCTTTAACATTTTAGTATCTGCTTTAGGGCTTGACATGTACTTGTGACTGGCATTTCAAATAATGTGATGCCACTTCATACCCATGTGAGAGTTCTCAATGACTTTCCCTTCCCTCCTGCCTTCCTGCCTCTGCTCTCGTGTATTTTAATTTCATATACACAAACCTCCACAATACACTTATTATTTTTGCTTTGAACAGTCAATTATCTTTTCAAGAGACCATCAAGACTTTTAGAAAGGCTTTTGTATTTGTGCGAGCGGTTGCTGTTATGAGCACATTCATTGCCCTGCACAGATCTGAATTTTCTTCTTTCGTTGTTTTCATTCCTCCTGAGGAAATTACAGTAAATATTTTGCAGTGCAGAGTTGTTTGCACATAATCTTCTAGATTTTGGTTGTCTGAGACGCTTTTTTGGCCTTTGTTTTTGTAGGTTTTCCCCCTGATGAATGTGGGATTCTGGTGCAGCTACTCTTTAATGCCTCTATTTAGGTCCATGTCCCTTGGTATCCTGACACTCTAGCATCCACATTGTGGTCCACCGACGGAGTTTGCTATGGGAAAGCTTCTTTTCATGTACTGGTTTGTTCTCTATAAATCTTTAGTGATCTATCCAAGATTGTCCTAGATGCATTTTGTTTTTGTTTTCTTTAAATAGTGGATCTGGTGAGATTGATTGTTTTTGAAGCAGGGTCTGACTATTAGCTCAGGCTGGCCTAGAAAGGTGTAAAACTTCTGCCTCTGTCTCCTGAGTACTGAGATTACAGGCATGCATCACTGTATCCTTGAGGTTTTATACATTCTGAATTCATTTCCTCTATAATTTACATAATTAGAAAATGTAGACTAACATCCTCTGATTGTCTTCTTGTTCTTTGAACAGGAATTTAAAAAATGTATTTATTATTTTTATTTTATGTGTACCAGTGTATTGCCTGCATGTATGTGAGTACACCTGTGTTGTGCGATACCGTGGAGGTCAGAAGAGGGTTTCAGATTCCCCTGGAACTGGCATTAAGGATGGTTTGTAGCTGCCATGTGGGTGGTGGGAATTGAACCCAGGTCCTCTGCAAGAGCAGTCAGTGCTCTTAACCACTGAGCCATCGCTCCAGCCCCTGAACAGGAAGTTTTTTTTAAAGCCAGGATCTCACTATATTACCTAGGCTGTATATTACTC